CTGTCACTTCCCGACATTGCCAATGGCGCTCGCGTTCCGAGTGAAACACGGCGCGGTCCTCGCGTGTATATAGCGTGGCGAGAATGTTTTTCGGGAGCCGGGCCGCGTGGACTGTCAGGTGCGGCGCGATACTATACTCCACGCTATACCTTCTCTCCCTCACGCTCACCCCCGCGATCTCCGTCGCTCCCGTCGCGTCAGTCGCGTGTCGCGTGTGTGAGTCGAGTGTATGTCGCGCGGTCGCGGTCGGTCGCGCCACGGCCAGACGCATTTGCCAATTGCCAGTTGTCTCCTCCTCCTCCTCCTCCTCCACTACCACCACCACCACTCTCAACTCTCTGGCTGGTTCGCTCTCGCTCTCACTCTTCTCCACAGTTCCCCTATCTCCTCTCCCCTTCCCTCCTAACCACCGATTCCACTAATTGCAAGTAGCACGCGCGCGACCAACTGCCCCTTTCAAACGGACATCTCGACTAACATATCGCCGTTTCGCGAGTCAAGATGCTGGCTCCGTCGTCCAGGTCGTCCTCGCGTTTCCACCGTTCCGCGTGGCTTCTCACGTACCCATCGAGTGCACGCACACACTCTCGCCGCTCGCGTATCGCACGCGCGCTCTCACTACGAACACCGACCAACACTGCGGATCTGCGAGATGGCATTGGCCGATGGTACCTTGACGTCACGGCCTTCGTGAGCACTGGTGAGCACGACAACGTGCGCAGAACGACCAGCCAATCGCGACGAGTCGAGTCGCGTACGACGTAAAGTACGTAAACGACGTTGCGCCGACTGTTCTCCGCACCTCCGCGCAGTCCGCGGCGCGGCAGGTGGATCGTGGATCGCGTTGCGCGTTGCGCTCCGGTGTCATTCACATACATGACTTCATTGATAAATTTCTATTGAATGCAAACCGCGCGTTGTTGAAAACTTGATTTATAAAACAATTAATAATACCGTCAATCATATAGGTATTTGTGTTAATTTTTAATCGGATTAAAGAAGATATCGACAATTCTAATTATAAATCTTTTCCTTACGAAAAGTCATAGTTATTATACTGATTCATAGCGCGCTGCAGTATTAGAGAATATAGAGAATGATTATGATTCAGCAGAAATTTTGGCTGCATTGGCTGCAGAAAGATTACAGCATAATGTAAAGATATCACAATGATAACGCAATCGTTAGATTATTAAATATATTTCGATTTTTCTGCAGTTTGAACATTTTGAGATAAAAGCTTACAATCATTTTTTTGGAAGTACTAAAATTTATTTTGTAAAGGCTGAACTTTCGTTCACATAATATATCGTCATTTCTGTCTTTTCGTATAAAAATTTGATCGCTAATTCTATTATGAAGGCATGCGATTTCGCACAATCACGTTACATTTGTTTCGATCGCCTCCGAATCTTCTATCCTCGAGAGACCGTAATAATCGATCGACGTAATAATCCTGATTGACGACTCTTCGAAATACGAAATCGCATATTTTTTCAAAGAGACGGTTTTGACTAGGAATAGGCCGCTGTCGTCATCAACGGCCATAAATATGTATATATCGACGATTGAGTCCTTATTCTATTATTAGAAACAAATGTTTAAATTTACAGTCTTGTTGGTTGTTGATTTCGATTTACAATTCATTCGGCGTCTTAACCCGCGAAAAACGATCTTGAATTCGGTTGCGTTTGGGCTGGCCGGGCGGTGTTGTTCACGTCGCCACGATGGGCTTGAATCGCCTGCCAGTTAATGTACCAAAAAGGTTGCTTGTCTCTCGGCCAGGTCTTGATCCTATTTACCAAGTCAATGTCGCCGTGAGCATCGACTGGTAAATCAGCTGGATTTATAGTCGTGCTTAGGGGCGGTGCAGCTGCAGCTGCAAAGCCACTGTCTTCATCACCTATTCGATTTCCAAGCAGCGAGCTATCGGTACCAATGTGACTCCCTTGATACGTTGGAATTCCTTGAGATCCTTGACGCACTGGAATTTCTTGAACCCCTTGGCCTACTGGAATTCCTTGAGCTCCTTGACCTATTGGAATTCCTTGAGTCCCTTGACCCACTGGGATTCCTTGAGCCCCTTGGCCCAATGGGATTCCCTGAGTTCCTTGGCCCACTGGAATTTCTTGAACCCCTTGGCCTACTGGAATTCCTTGAGCTCCTTGACCTATTGGAATTCCTTGAGTCCCTTGACCCACTGGGATCCCTTGAGCCCCTTGGCCCAATGGGATTCCCTGAGTCCCTTGGCCCACTAGAATTCCTTGAGTTCCTTGACCCGCTGGGATTATTTCATCTCCTTGAGCTGCTTGACCTGCTTGACCTGCTTGAGTTGCTTGCTCCGCCGCTATACGCTCGTCAATATATTGAGGTAGAACCTGAGGCAGACGATTACCGGTACCAGCGTGCCATGGTCGTTGCGACTGCACCATGTACAACACAGTAGCGAAGAGTATAATATATTTCAACTGTAATGAAGAATAATTTCAATTTAAATGCTAAGAATTTCGTTTCTCTACCATTTAACAAATTTAAGTTATTTGGGAAGATTATATATATTATGAATAAATATGTTTAGATAGGACTCTCTCTTTTTAAAATGACAACTAATTCCTGAGAGTCAGCGCGGGAGGGGATGCACGATTATTGTAATGTAAAATATAAAATGATTACACCTTAGATTTACTGGTGTCTTTTTTATTTAAAGTTTTAGTACGTTTCGATTCACTTTGGGATCTTTTTCAGCATTTTCAATTTTCCTATACTATATTGGTTTATCATTAATAATGATATTATTGTATAAAATGGCACATAAACCATTCTATAATGTTAAACATTAAATTTGCGAAATTCCAAAACTTCATGACAAATTATTTGACGTGTGTTGAAAAGCCACTATAAATTTGATAATTTGTGAGTGACTTTTCCTCAGCAGACTGCTAAACCGATATATTGTAGTGTAGGAGAATTGAAAATGCTGAAGAGGACTCCAAAGTGAGACGAAACGTACAAGAATTTTAAATAAAGAAAACACTAGTACATTTAAGGTGTAATCATTTTATATTTTACATTACAATAATCGTGCACCTCCTCTCGCGCTGACTCTCAGTAGCCTTGAATTAGTTGTCATTGTTATTAGATATATGTATATTATCATTAGCTAACATTAATATTGAAATACAATTCATCATAAAATGAAGATTTGTATAATTAATCAATACAAATATTGCAGTGTAAATATAAATTGTCAAATAATTTCTCTTCTAAATTAGTACTAATATTAGTAATAAATACAGTTTGTATAATACAAGAGATTATTAATTAAGTAGATTAAGAAACAATCAAATCTATTTACCATAATTATCGAATATATCGAGGCGTTTTCTGAACTGAATAAATACACGAGGATTTCACCAACGGTATCCAACGGAACCGGGAAATTTAATGATCGTGCGATTCACCGTTCGAAACTGAAATGCCAATGTAGCAAGCATTCCTTCTATATAAATCGCTCGGCTTCACTCTGATCCCCACTACGAAGTCGACGAGTCATGGGTCTGTCTGGGAAACTTGACTGCAACTTCCCCCGGTTGTCGAGTTTGCAATATCTTGGTGGACGCAAAAGTCTTCCCGAAGTGATGTATACAAATCGCTGCTAAGATAAGAAAGTATTTTCTGAAAGCGCGTCTGCGAGTCAAGTTTCGCAAAGAAAATGTACTTGCAATTTATCACGACGATTAAGTTATGTTGTCAGTCACCCTTTTAATTTCGGTTCATTCATGCGCGTAAATTCCAGTGAATTCCCTATATAAATTTAAATTTATACAAAACTTAGATATTTGTGAAATGTCTAAATGCAGAAAAAATAATGTGGAATTTTTATATTATTGATACGTAAACTCTAAATAATATACCTATATTATTTTTCATGTGTCATAATTAAGTAAAAGCATTAATTAACATTCTTTTCTTCTGGTATATTAATAAAAATTATATTATTAATAATTAAATATAATTTTTAATTTATAATAAATGAAAATAAATTGGGTTGATACAATAAAAGAAATCCTATATTATATATAGAAAAATTATGCACATTTAGTTGTTGATAGTGTCAAACACTCGTATATAGAAAACAGCATCAAATATACGTGTTTGACAATTCAAAAATTTAATGATGATGTTACGATATTATTCTTCTAATAGTTAATTAATCAATAATAACTGAGAGCAAATAATGGATAGACTCATTTCTTAGGTATGCGTTCGAAAGATTATGACAATCTTGGAATGACTATATCTATTTTTTTGAATAGCGAACCGTGAAATTGCATTGTCAGCAATGATAATGAATTTCATACTTTTCCAGCTTCGTCAGCACATTACATTTACGCCCATATTTATCGTGGCTTTTGCGGTTTTAACAAAATGTTGAGGCATTTAACTAAGCTAATAAATCCACGTCTTCGTCATCACGAATCTGCAGATATTGTTCGCAAGAAAAGATTCGAGATACGAGTTGTTTATTCATATGAATTCCCTATGGAAACAGTGATAGGAAGCAAAAATGACTTTGATGCGATTATTCACGGAAAATATTCATTAAGAAATTATATCTCAAACGGTGCCGTTATCTTATGAAGACCTTTGGAAAGCATTGATTTTTGTAATGCTACATTTTTAGTATTTCTGATGAAGCACGCCGTCATTTCTCGTTAATGTTTGAAAGATAAACAACATATGAAAACAAGAGCAGATTGTAAAAATTATTGCATTGGTCGACAGTTCATAGCAATATAATCTTTATCATGCGCGTAATGGGAAAAAAAAGTATGGAAGATAAAAATTATCTTATTATTTATGGCGTGTCCGCTAAATTTTCATACGTAACTTTTAACTGAAGATTCTCAATTATTACGACAAAATGGGAGTAATCCTAAAAAATGATGCAAAAATTTCAAAAATTATGTATTTTACAAGTTTTTCATTATAGATCATACGTTATAGACTTGTAATAAATATATTTTTTTTTCAAGCTTGTCTGCAACGTTTAGCTACATAAATATATCTTATGTTAGATGCTGCAATTAAGTTCATTTATAATTTCTATCGATAATTCGCGTGAGTGACAGTAATTACGATATAACAACGCCAATAATTAATGACCCCAGCGACTGAGAGAGAAACGATGAAAATATAGTACATTTTCCTCTGAAGATTTTCTTAGAACTCATTTTTCCTTATCTTTAGATTTTTATCTCCGCTTGGTTTTCATGGTCAAGATGTGATTTCTTTATTTGGTCCAAGAAAAGAGGAAATTTTGTTTCTTTCGTTCTGTGATGATGGAATGTACCTTCTTATTGGTGAGACTCATCTTTTACATCAAATAATTGGTTCAGAATCCGGTTTTGCCGTCGGCGTATCGACGGAATTACCAGATCAGTAATTTTCCCTACTCTGCACAGAATGTGTCTTGATCAATATCTTAAGTAGCGTAGACACAAGAAATTATTAATTGCAATAATTAACAGTCATATTACAGAAAATTAAACAAAATTTTTTATTTATCAAGACGTGCGATAGTATCTTGTAATATACTATCAAATACATGTACGTACAAAAGAAAAACATTTACATATAAATAATAGAAAATACAATAGAAAATTGACTTGTATAAATTAAGTATTTGAGTAATTGAGGAAGAATATATATCGTCAGTCATACTTTTAATAATTTTAAATGAGATTTTCTTCGAAATGATTAGACGAGGTATATATACGGTACCTTTTCATGAATTATATTGCATTCGTGCTTGTGCATTTAATCGAAAGCGCTTTTACGATTTTCTCGCAAATCGCGGTCATGCAAAATAGAAATACAGTCGGATCAAAATATTTACAGCCGTTCTTCTCGCTTGGCCGTGACGGAATCAGATTGTGGGGATTAAAGGCCGCTGCTGCTGCGGGCTTATGGAAACTGGAAACAGTGCCGGACCGGGTTTTTCCCAATCAGCTTTGAACCATCAAGTGTGATAAATTTCACCGTGGATGGCTGGCAAGAAGTCATAGTTTCCGTTAAAAATGATAAAGCGGAATCTAATTTGCAGCGCAATTTTCATAAACGTTGTCGTTGGAATTGTGCAAATAGTAAAACTGCCCGAGATGAAAGAATTGGCGTGAGTTTTTAAAATCATCTGTGATAAATATAAATTGCGAAAGAATGGATTCAGTTGCATTTACGTTATAACACATTATTAATAATATAATAAACCCATATATCAATGTGGAGGTAAGTTAATCTCGGTTCGTTTAGAAACTTGCCACGTATGTTTACATAAATAAGAAGCCGCCGCATTAAGTTCGGAATCGTCTACGTCATTAGAATAACTACGCGTCAGATACAGACTTTCTTGCCTGCGTGATGAAAAAACGATGATCTTTGATATGTAAATCAATATAAAATAAACGAGAATAACGTTATATTCTCGTAAATGCTATAATATATTCTCGCGTTTATTCACGAATTGATGAACACTAGAAATTTTAATACATTTGTAAATAATAAAAATATTTACTATAAATTATATATATATATATATATATATATATACACACACATATTTATACAACCCTTTATATCATTTATGAAATTCGATCATCAATACCGTTTTCATTTTATTTATGTATATACATATAAATTATGAGAATAGATTACATATAATTATAGATCTTTGTTGTAGTCAAATGTTATAGTGATACAGTTGTTAAAGTCAAATAATACACTTAATAGTGAAATAATTATATTAAAAAATCTTAGATAATAAATAATTGTTTATTCGTTATCGTATTATTGAGATAAAATTTGAATTACGAACATTTTATTATAAAAATATAGTAATTGCTCATGATGTGTATTTTTCTTTTGTTATCGAACAAAAATTACGGCGCAGAATCATCGATAAGGAAATGTGTTGGAAACCAGTTTAAGCGTAATGTCTTTAGCGAAGTATGCTAATCTATCCGATAATGTACACTTATCCATTTTTACTTTAAGATTGAATTTATTTATAAGAATATATGTGAAGCATATATATAAACGTATGTAATTATGATTTCTATAACTCGATGCAATTATAATTTCTAATATTATAACAGATTGTACGTATGTGTTTGTGAGAATATTGTTCTCGCGCAATTGAATATCTTTCTATTTCAAAAAGATTTCTTAAATCGTTATATTTCAAATGTATTTTGAGATTCTTGTGATATACAACTATTTTTTAAAAGATTATAACTGTTTCAAGAGACTTGACAGAATAGATACGCTATTCTTAAATCGATCGATTTACAGGAATAGGCAATTCCCTTGTAGAAAAGTACTACTGAGCACTAGGAGTATTTTGAAGCACTACTGTACTATAGCACACCCCAGATAGCACATTATATTTTGCGAATATACTAAAAAGGTCACGTCTGATATTCGTATGATATTCTTATGTATGTCCACAGCAACATTGTTCGCAATATATCCTCAGAATATTGAGATGAATTTCGAAAATTTTCCTTAAGAGTGTGTAAGAAATATCTGTTAAAAATAATATTCTTCTCTAACAGAATATTATTTTTAATAGATATTTCTTACACACTCTTAAGGAAAATTTTCGAAATTCATCTCGATATTCTGAGGATATACTGCGAACAATGTTGCAACGGACATAGGAATATCATACGAATATCAGACGTGACCTTTTTAGTATATTCTCAGAATATTCTAAGAATATAATGTGCTATCTGGAACTGTACTACTACACTACTGTAGTAGTGCAGAAGTGTTCAGTAATGCTGAGTAGTGGCAAGATCTTCTATATATCCGCGTTTCGGCAAGATACAAAATGCAGGAAATGAATATGCACTACAGAAACTATTAATAACTTAATTTTTAAGAAAGCACTTTCAGAGACTCTGCGAGCACACTCTGATCAAGCTGAGAGTAAGTGATGGATTTAATTTACATATGCCTATTTATAAGGATTCGCGTTATTTTCTTCTTACGGGAAACCAGTCCATCTTGCGGCGATACTGCGTATTATGTCGCTTGCAGAGTATATGTACGCTATAGACGTCGCCAAGCAAGTGGTGTAATACTCAGTACCGCCGCAAGATGGACTCGTTTTCCGTAAGGAGAAAATGACGCGGATCCCTATAAGTAGGCATATATAAATGAAATCCGTCACTTACTTTCAGTTTGATCAGAGTGTGCTCGTAGAGCCTCTGAAAGTGCTTTTTTAAAATAGAGTTATTAATAATTAGTTTCCGTGATGCATACTCGGTTCCTGCATTTTGTATCTTGCTGAAACGTGGATATATAGAAGATCTTAGCACTATTCAGTATTACTAAACACTTCTGCACTATTACAGTAGTGCCTCAAAATACTCCTAGTGCTCAGTAATACTTTTCTACAAGGGAAGAAAGTGTGTTATAAATGCAACA